TGATGCCAAGCACTCTACCCAGGGCAACAGCTTGAGACTCTATCTCAAAAAATAAATAAATAAATAAAAATAAAGTGAATGAGTAGTTGTCAAAGGTGTTTAATAAAGTAATAAAGTAATTCTGGGGGTTACACAGAAACTAAATGGGAGATTTTTAGGGATTGAATTGAGTCCCCTGGAAAAAATATGTTGAGAATGATGGAGGAGGCAACACTCTGAAGAGGAAGGTGGAAAGGTGTCTGGCTTAGTTTTAGGACTGTGGATACTTGAACATGTTTATAGTCTGAGGAGTAGAAATTATTGGTGAGGGGAAGATTTGAGGTATAAAAGGTATTAAATAAAGGTTAACTGATGAGGAAAAGCTGCAGAAAGATGAGTGGCAGGGGATTAAACACGTTCTTGAAAGCAACACCTCTTTGAAAACAAGAAAGAATGGATGAACAACGATGGCAGAAAGGAAAAAAGTGGAATTGAAGCCAGTGAGGTGGTGCGCATCTATAGTCCAGCTTCAGGGGGGCCCTTGAGTTCAGACTGAGCAGCATAGAGAGACCTCATCTCAAAAAAAGAAAGAAACAGAGAAAGAAAAGAGTGGAACTGTGGAAAATTTTATTTTCACAGACATATGCTTTAAATCTGTTGATAAACTTTTGAGTTAACTTTTTTTTTTTTGGTAGTTTTTGGCCAGGGCTATGAGGCTGGCACCCTACTCCTTTGAGCCACAGGCGCCGCCCAACTTTGAGTTAACTTTTTAAAGATCAGTCTTGAATTTACTGTTACTCAATTTGTGGGAAAGCATCAGAAAGCAGTTAAGATCTCACCATAATTTAAGTTCTGTTTTGTTTATTTAGATCATCTGACCAAACATAAGGTAGTAGAGCCCACCTGTCCACTTTTTATGACTTACAGAATGACACCAAGAACAGTTTTCATGAGCATCTCAACATTTCACTCTCCCAGGCTGGAGGGCTCTAGAGGGTATGGGGGTGATACTTGGCTTTTTCTTCACCCTTCTGCGGTACTCAGATTAGCGAAGAGACAGCGGTGGCAAATGGCAATGGCCAAAACCCTTGCCAGCAGCACCCAGAATTAGTTGTGCAAATTTATTTTGATCCTGCTCTCAGTTTTCACCTTAGAACGCCTTGAAGGTGGCGCTCATCAAGACTATAAGGCAAGAATCTGCCGAATGGAAACTTCAGAAAACTGGGAAGTAAAACAAAATCCATCAAAGGAGAAGCAACAGCGATGATCCAAACTACGGCCTCATAGACTTCAAACCTGAGCCCTAGTCTGACCAGCCCTCCCTGACGCCTGCAAGAAAACGGCTCTCACTTTTTATTGGCTGACCCTCTCGGAGTTGAGACCTTGCTTTATTTTCACTGGTTGTTGCTGTTGTCACGTCCCTTTGCCACACCCATTTTCCCTCTTGCGTCCAGTGAGCTTTGGGGAAGAGTGATTTACAAAGGGCCGGGGGCGGGAGTTCGCGCCCGGCCAGCCTGTCTCCCCCTCCCCGGCGTCGCGCCCCGCCCACAGTTCTAGGCCCCGCCCCAAGCTGGGGCGGGCCCCGCCTCCCCCTCCCGAGAGGGCAGGGACCAGGCGGCGGCTGCAGCCGCAGGAATATGCTGGAAGCCGGCGGGCGGGCGCCGGCGAGGTGCTGAAGGGACAGTTCCCGCCGCCGAACTTACCCCGCGGGTGGGGCGGCCCGGGAGCCAGCGGGGCACGTGAGCGATGGAGACCATCTGGATCTACCAGTTCCGCCTCATCGTGATCGGGGACTCCACCGTTGGCAAGTCGTGCCTCCTGCACCGCTTCACCCAGGGCCGCTTCCCCGGGCTGCGCTCCCCCGCCTGCGACCCCACCGTCGGCGTGGACTTCTTCTCCCGTCTGCTGGAGATCGAGCCCGGCAAGAGGATAAAGCTGCAGCTCTGGGACACGGCGGGACAGGAGCGGTTCAGGTAGGGCGGCCCGCGCCTGGACTCGGGGACCACGCCGCCCTCTCCGCCGTCCAGACGCTGCTTCCCCAAGCGCCTGCCCCACGGCCCTTGTCGCGGGAGGCTCCGGCCCTTCCCCCTCGAAAGTGCAAACACTCCATTCTCGTTTCCCCTTTGCCCCTCCTCTTCCAGGGACGACTTCCTCCTCCGCAATTTCTCACTTCTTTCTTTGGCGCCCATTTCCTGCGCCCCGGATCCGTCTTTCCTTTCCCGCCTGAAGCAGGGTCGCGGTTGCCACCTCCCCTCTTCCCCAACTCTTTTTCCCCTTGCCAATATTTGGATCCCCTTCGCCACCCCCTCCCCCGCTACCTTCTCTGCAAACTCGGCTCCCTTCGCTGCGCACCTGGCCGACCACCAAGCGCCTCTTTTCCTGTCCTAACCAAGCAGCTTCCCGCTATGTGGCCCGGGAGAATTGCGAAGTAGGGTTCCCAGATTCGTAATTGGTCCTTTAGCTTTACAGCAAGCAGCGCTTCAACCCAGGTTACTGCATGAGCTCACTGGGTATGGTTCACAGGGAGATGGATGCGGTAATGGTTTGAACACCTCACTGCACTGAATGTGGTCATCGCAGAAATACCGGGTCATGACCCGTGGGAATGGGTCTTGTAGGGCGACTAGAAGCCCCATCTGGGACACTGGCACAGCCGAGGGTGTTTGTGTACGTGTGTGTGTGTTTAAGGCGTGAATTGTCTTTAGAAGTTTGCCATCATTGGTGGTTTGGTGGGAAAAGAGATATATATTGAGATTTGTCAGGAACTTTAATTTTGTTTATGATCGGTACTTAACGTTCCAGGGTGATAATAGAACAGAAAATAACATTTCAGAATAGATAAGGAAGGATCCAAATAAATAGTCTCATTCCAAGTGTTTACTGAGGACATGAAGGATTTCACAAAGGAGACTTTTGTAAATAAAAAGTAAACAAAATTACATGCATTTCTGCATTTTGGAGATAGAACCAGATTTAGAGCACATTTTAAATTTCTAGGATTCAAACACTTCATTTTGGAGGAAGGTAGTAAAACTGGTGTATTACAGTGTTTTGTTTCCTAAAGATTGCGTTATGAATTGGAACTGATTTAAGCAAGCATTTTGCATTTGTCAGTAATGGCTGTGCTTGTGAAACACAGTGCTCCATGAGGGGACTTCCCAAACATGGCTCTCCTCGCCCCCAGCCAGCCTCCATTCCAAATGAGATCAGCCTGCATCTGTGAGAAGGGTCCAACATTCAAAGTTTTGGCTTCCTTCCTGGCTATGACACTGATTCACAGAGATGAATGAACTGCTTAGCTTGCTTATACCTTACTTTTCCTGTGTATGAAGTGGAAAGATGGTAAGGCCAGCCCTTCAGAGAGGTGTTAAAGGTTATTGATTTGATCTGTACAATACATAGAATACCACGAAGAAATGTTTTCCTGGCTCGGTGCCCTTAGCACAGTGGTTACAGCACCAGCCACACACACCAAGGCTGACGGGTTCAAACCTGGCCCAGGCCAGCTAAACAACAATGACAAATGCAACAAAAAACAGCCGGGTATTGTGGCAGGCACCTATAGTCCCAGCTACTCGAGAAGCTGAGGCAAGAGAATCGCCTAAGCCCAGGAGTTGGAGGTTACTGTGAGCTATGATGCCACAGCACTCTACTGAGGGTAACAAAGTGAGATTCTGTCTCAGAAAAAAAAAAAGAAAGAAAGAAAGAAATGTTTTCCCTTTTCAAGAAGCCTCTTTTTAATTAATTTGTTTTTTAGAGACAGTCTCAGTTTGTCACCCTCAGTAGAGTGCTGTGGC